CCATCCATTTTTGAGCACATGACGCTGCGGTGACACAAGCTTATCGGCATCACTGAGCGGCAGGGCACGTACAACACTTTCTGATCTGTTATCAAAGGGCAAGTTTGTTGACGCAGAATTGGGTAATATGTCATTATAATGATATGCAAATCATTTCATGAAAGGTGCTTGGAATGCTTTGGGATATTGTTCTTGCAGTGATTTGCAGAAGGCAGCAAACTGTGAAGTTACTCAAGACCCTTGTTTGAAAGCTTCGCCGGGATAAACCTCCTGCCTTGACACAAAACTAACGAAGCTTCGGCAGAAGGGATGGCAAAAGCTTTGCCGTAGAAATGCTCGTCATGATGGGTTGGACTGTGACATGAGCCACATCAAGACCCTTTGTTCAGGCGGTGTTAGCAAGAGCTGGTCTCAAGAAATTCACCATGTACGGCTGAGCTTGTCCAAAGTGGCTAGAACATCATACACCCACCCTTGGTTGGGAGTGCTTGATGGCCGGGATTTCCATGACCCAGTTTGTTTTCGTGTAAGATCCTCTTATATAAATCCTCTTAATATTAGCAGTCTGCAGCCACTTCTATAGCCAGATGTGTTTGATTGAGCAAATGCATCTCTGTCCTCTCAATACGCTATAAGCAAGCAGGTTCTTCTATTGCGAGTTCTGGAGTCTCTTTCTGAACACGGCACCAACCTTAACTCAGCAAGGATGCCCTCCGCGTCACATTTGGCACAACTTAGGTTTACATGCGCCAGAGTTCATTGCCGCGCTTTATGATCAAGTCCGATTTTCCCATGAGACTGATGAGGCTAGACGGTGCTAGCTGCTAGATGATGGCAGGAGCGTTTAAAGCGTGCCTGCGAAACCGAGGTGCGCATCGCAAATGATGCGGAATTCACCATCAAATATGACCTGGTCCTCAGCGGAGTCGAGGTGGCAGCGGAGTCGCGGAGTCGTTCTTGGAACATCACATCCGCTTGGGTAGGCCATTCGACGGAATGGGGATCCTTTCCGTGGTGGCTTAAACTTCGACGATGCACAGTTGCACTTGGCCTGCTTTTGCATATCATTCCTTTTCCTGAGTGTTTCGATTCGGAGGTTCGACACAAACTCTTGCAACATACCAAAAGCTAAACAACCAGGCTTGCAATGGTGTGTGATCTGTAGCCCTTTTGCAAGGATGTAAATGAGCTGGGCTTGGAGGGGCGTGCTGATCTTACTTCAAGCCAATGCGGGAAATCAAGCTCAGTGATCAAGGACCGAATCTGTTTGTCAAGGATAAACAGTTTGCTGCAGGAATTGACCGAATGGCAAAGACATACCGGGAGGCTGGCACTTTGCTTCTGCAGCTGGTTCAATACACAAAACCCTGTTCTTCTTCCATTTCAGCTGACAATGGCCCACTCGACTTTTACGAAGCCTCTCTCTACGTTCATTGGTGGGAGAAGACGGAGGTGCTCGAATCCCACCAACTTTCTCCAGACGTAGAACCGCATCACTTGCATCATTCCATACTTAGGGCCATAGGCAGCCCCCCACCCAAAATCCAACCCTTACGTTGAGCAATTTTTATAAACGAGGGGTAGGCAGCTAGTAGTAGCTAGGTTTCTAGTAGCTTAAGTGGCTACTAGTAACTGGACGCAGGATAGCTCACGCTAAGGATTTGGTTTCTAGATTTTTAGGGACACTTATCAACAAAGCCCCAAACTGGCAACTTCTCACCAACCGATGATGAACCACCTGCAATGGGCACAAAAGTCACAGAGTAGAACCAGCACAGGCTCAGCACATACAAAGAACAAGGAATTCCCCCAAGACAAGTATCAAAGGCACAGTGTGCACACGCCTTTGTTGACTTCAAGGCGCCATCACTGTGGGTTGTGCTGGATCTTTTGTCTTGCCCTTAGCTGCCTATTTGCAAGTAGAGCCTCACTGGGGGCCACAAACTGGTTCACTTTCCTCTTTGGTGTCCAAGGTCAAACTTTCAACAAGTTTTTGTCATGAAAGTCTGGATCTTCCTCTTCGCGTGGTACGCGTACATGTCACAGGACACAGTCCACGGTCTTGCGACTGACATATGCGGTGGAAGTCCTTGATTGCTTCCAGGACTCCCGGAATGGCTACCTCTTTTACCCAACATTCAAACGTGCCTGAATCTGAGGAGTCAACTGTAGAAACGACTCACGGGTTGCCGGAAGCGATGGTGACGGAAGTTAAATCGAATGGCAGAGGAAGGTCCATTATATTCAGTATTTCTTTGTGCAGATTAAAGGCGAACACCCTCCAATACATCGCGATCGGCGAGTCTGCTGGGGCTGCAGCCTACATCCCAGTCTGTGCAGCCAGTGTTGCCTTGTATTAAGGCTTTGTTTTTGGTGCAAGTGCACCCAATATGTTGCTGAGTGCATTGGAGGTCGTCGATGTACTTGTCATATTCCATGGACTTGGGCAATGGCCGGGCACTTGAGAAATCAAACGAGGAGTTCTCACACACGGAAGCTGCACTATGAATTCTTGAAATTTCAGAACACTGACACACTAGAGATTGGTGCACGTATGATTTGAAGGCCTCAAGCCCTGAAGAAACCTGGATGGCCTGAGAAAAAGACAGATTCAAATGCATGTTTGCCGACCTTGAATACCTAAACAGTCTGGGCACCTCTACAAGTGGACTGCAGTTATAACATTCACAACCAATAGTGCAGATACGTCAAAAGGGCCGTCTCCCTTTGATACTGTGAATTCTGGCCGTCTTCGTTGGCATGAACCAGAGTCACACCTGTGCCCCATGGCCCATGACATCCCATGACCCTAGGGGCTCCTGGCCTTACTACTAGGAGCAAGGACGCTAGTCGTAACAAGTGCCACGCTAGTAGTAACAGGTGCCTTACTAGTAGTAACAAGAAGCTACTAGGGGCTCCTGGCCTTACTACTAGGAGCAAGGACGCTACTATGTACACACAAAGGGATTTGCTTTTACCTGCGGGAAGATCTACACAAAGAAAGATGAGGAGATCAGACACACAGATTTACAATATAATGCAGCAATATGTATCTTAATGTACTTTAGACTCTGCGGTTACTTCATTGTTGGATAATCCATTCAGTCTTTGTCTTTCGTTCCCGTGTAAAAGGCTAGTGCTGGGTTGGCTTTTGGCGTGATTCACAATTGCGCCTGATTCAGTGGCATGCAGCACCTCCCCCTCGAAGTAGGTGCTGAAGCTTCAAAGAGGAATCCGCATGGTGAGAGATTGAGGATCTACGTATCGCCACCGTAAGCCTTTTACACTTTGACCAATGCACACACTTGGGAAATTGAACAAAAGAACTGAAAGCCGAAAGCCGCTTGCCACACGCAAGCCTGAGAGATGAAACCTGAGATAACCAAAGTGCGTGACTGCTGTGAATGAACCTCTGCAAAGGCCAACGATTGTTTTACTGTACTTAGGAAGGGGCCAAGTAGGAAATTCTCCGGTACGACGCACGTACGCTGGGATGATCAGTCCCATCGCAGGAAATCGAGAGTGTCTTCGTGAGTGGCAGACTCTCGTTCCTACTGCCACCCCCTGCTTAAAGGACAGAAAATGTCAAAGAAATCTTACCAACAGGTAAGCTTGCAATCCAAGGTGCACACACACACAGTGGAGACCTGGCAAGCAGGCAACAACTCCACAGTGTCGTCATGAGATACCACTTGAGATCTTTAAGGTGATTGTAGGAGCAGACTCGCAGCTCGCGTCCTCATGCCAAAAGATTTGAAGACTATATGACATGACATGACTGAATATTTTTGCTTGGTTCCATTGCCATAGATTCCAACCGCAATGGAATGCCATGCATCCCTTCATGAGTTTTAACCAATCGAAGGCCGAGATGGATTTTAGTAGAGTCTTTTCATGCAGCCAGTTCATTTTGATGTTGGGAGTTTCAAGCTGCTCGTAGAGAGGCAGAGGTGAGGATGTCAAGAACTGGAGATCGACTGAGCTGCGATTGAGGGGATTGTTTTGATGCTGAGATTTGACCACGAGGCTATGAGATCTGAATATATATATATATAGATCGCCAGAGGGTTGGCTTTAGGGGGCCAAGAGAGCTAGCTGGAAAGTAGTGCAGACCTTGATCTTGGGATCCACAGCTATGGATCTAGACCAGGACGAGTAGAATGGAACGATACATTGTGCTTTACTAGTATGTAGCTGTATATAACTGCACCTGGCACCAACTGCCAGCGAGTTGGGGCATTCACACTCACGCCCTGGCAGCTTCACAAGAATGGATTTGATTCGGGGCTTCTCGAATAAGGCGCTTATCCAGCTTATGCTGTGCATTTTGCAAGGCCGGGGTCGATGAATCGAAACCCACGTTCCTGGAAGAACAAACCAGGAGTTCCAATGTGTTCTCGATCCACGGCAAACTGCGCAACTTGTGGAAATTCCACCAGCCATGAGTCTTGTGGAGTTGTAGTGCGTGAGTTTGCTTCAGCTGGAGGATCACAAGATGAAGACCATGCATGTTTTTCCCACTAAGAACAATGTTTGAGGCGTGTTTGCGTTCCCATAGCTTCTGCAGGAAGCATTCACATTACTGTAATGCTTTAGCCGCTAAAGGTTCGGAGCAGGAAGGGTTCTGAGATGAAGTGTTTCTTTGGGCTTCACGATCCTGGTGATTTAGAGACACTTTGAGTGGGACCCTTAATTCACTCGATCCTGTGGTGCGTTTATATCTTTTTCAATCGAATAACGAACGGACTGTACTGTACCGGGTGTTAGGATGGTATGCTGATCGGCCTGCAATGTGAACAATCGGGAAAGTCCAGTATAGTAAGTCAGTCAATTTTCCTTTTCCGGCATGATGAGGCAGCAGGAGGTGTGGAAGCAAACCGTTGTCGATGGCTACTGCGCCGAACGCGACTGGGACTACAAACTGCACACTCAGGGGGAGAAAGGACATCAGCCCTTTGATCCTCATTGGAAATTAAAAGGGATGAGGACCATAGAATAAGGAGTTTTCTATGTAGGAGAATCATATAGAAATCGTATCAAGCTATTCAAAAGACTTTATATATCATTGCATAGATTATTCAAACTCTCCGCTTTCTTTGCTAGTCCTCATTGCTACTCAGGTTTTCGATGGTCGTCTCAGCTTGCCTTCCTGCCTGGATTGGGAGCACAGTGACTGGAGCGACGAAGGGTTTTGGATTTGGCACCAGATGGAGCGCTTCTGGTGCTTTTCTTGGCAGGCGGAGCTGCAGCAATGTATCGCAAGATGCACATCCAGGACGGCTGCAAATGGATAGCTTCAAACCAAGGATGCCTCATTTGCAGGATCTGGACATGAATGCCAAGGAAGAGGACACTAACTTGACCATCTCCTTTTCTTGCTTGTAGTGGGGTATCACGGTATCACGTTCAATCCTGGCTTTGAATAGATCTCTGCACGAAACAGCAGTCTTGAAAACTGAACTCGACAGACTCCATGGCGTTTGATTTGCGTATCACGCGCAGCAAGCGTAGGAAATTGAACAGCTTTCTCTTTCTGACCAATCCTGCATGTGCTGCAGAAGCTTCTTAGGTAAAGTGTCTGCAGGGTAAAGTACACGTGCAGAGCAGAAGTGTTGTTGATGAATGGTGAATTTGACAAGGACATCCAGGAGCTAAAGAATGGCTACAGTCCGGAGATGAAAGAGGCAATCAATCATACGAAGTCCAACAGCATTTTGAAGTCAAAAGTCACATGGATGATCAACATCACTGACATTATATTTCCAGGGGGATGAACATAGGTAACTGACAAAAAAAGCACACGTCCTTTGGGGAATAGTATGGCATACTCAGATTCGACATCTGTCACATGCATGACTCAATCTGTTCAGGCGATCATCACTGCATCTATTGCTGCTGAGCTGCAAGAGTATTGAGTTGTTCTTGCTTTTGAAGGTTAGAGGCCTTTCTGCATTCTAGCAGCGCAGCCAGCGCTCTCGTGCTTCTCAGGTCTTCGGAATCCGAGTTTTGTGCTACTTCATCACAACCAGGCAACTTTTGTTTCTCAATGCGAATCGCGAAATCTAGTGCAGGCGCTCATGGATTTTGAGGCGTTTAGGAGGGTTTAAGGGGCTTACGCCCAACAGCGGGCCAAGCATAGGGTTCAGTGGCGAGACTTCTTCTTGTTGTTGTTGTTGTTGTTGTTTATTACTTTTGTCAGAAACAGAACCATAACCATAAAATGTCAATAATGCAAGTCAACTTGGGCAGCATAACCGGCACCTTGAGGACATTTGAGGGCATCTTCAAGGAAGGGTGTGTCCAAAAACATATTTACAGTAAAAAACAATGTTTTTGAGTTACCCACCTGCCAGGTGCGGGTTGTTGGATTTTATCAGAGCTCTTCTCCTCCTTCCTCCTTCCGGTTCCTCGCAAAAGAACATATTTGGGGGGACACATAGACACATATAGATGCAAATAGAACAACATCTAACGCTGGAAACACCTTGGCAGAAAATGTCACCTTGTTGGCCAACACGCGTAAACGTAGACCATTACACATGTATGAAAGTTGTGGGTGAGGCAGAAAATTAAGGGCGGCTGATCAGCAACCCAGTGCAGCAATAGCGAATAAATTGCTGACAGGCCAACCTTGTGTTTAAAGGAAAGGTGGACTGGTTCAAGGGTTGCTGACCAGCAGCCCGTGCAACGAATTTGTTCACTGGTTTCAAGGGTTGCTGACCAGCAGCCCGTGCTATCAACATTGCTTGTTCCAAAAGAAGGCGGAACAGCATGTGTTTAATTAGTTTAATTGTTCGAAAGGTTGGTCAGCAACCCTCGCGTCATCATGACCATGCCGAGGATCGTGTCCTCAATTGGTTTGTCAGCAATTCTTACGCTATTGCTGTATTGCGTTGCTGATCAGCAGCGCTTTGTCTTTTTGTGCCCCATCATACACGTGTAATGCTCTACGTTTGCGCGTGTTTGCCAACAAAGTGACATTTTCTGCCAAGGTTTTTCAATATACAGTATAGTTCTTTTTTGTTCTATTTGCATTTATATATGTCCCCCCAAATAGGTTTGGGCTCCACGCGCCCCAAAGACCGTGCCAGACGGCAGTCTTGAAGCCTCATAGAGACACAGTTCTGGCGGCTTGCAGGGCTCCACGCCCCCGAGAGGCTTCTAAAGGTTTTATGAGGGCTCTGAAGGTGAAGCAAGCCGTGCCAGACGGCAGCGTTGAAGCCTCATAGAGGGCCCTGGCCATAGTTAGGGCAGGGTCGGCGGATATATGGACGCAAACAAGCATTGTCTGTTTTGTGTTTTGCCTTTGCACGCGAGCAAGAACCTCAAAGCTTAGTTGGTACTGAAACACCAAGTTGCACCCTTTCACAACTTGGTAAGACGGCTGTAGCGCACCTGCAGATAGGTGACTAGAGATGTCAGGTATAGGCCGAGCTGGTTAACGGTTAACCTCTACCTCAAAATGTCGAGTGCGTGCATTATGAAATACAAAAGAACCCTTTTCCAGGCCAGATAACATTCCGTTCATCAAAGGCCGGGCCAAGGCCTGGCGCATTAGAGAGTCTTAGATTGCAGCCACATCAAAGCAGCATTTCGATCAAACGGCTTAGGACAAGGTCATCTCAGGCAGGCCATCGCATAGCACTTAGTTTTTCTTAGCCATCAGTTTTGCAAGAATCCCTGCCAAGTGTTGGTGTGATCGAATGTTGTTTTCATGTCCAGGCGACTGCAGCTCTTGTGCTTCTCAATTGCTCAGGCCCGCCATGCCCTTGGACGCCTCAGCCCCATTGTTGGCCACGGGCATTTCACAAATGTCTTCCAGCATGGCCAACAGGACATTGGGTGAAGAACAGTTTGTGCAGCAAAGCAATCTTCTTGGTTTGCTGGAGGGGACTTTCAATTTTGCCATGATATCTTTGTGTTTCTTTGGTCGTTGGATCGAGGTGTCATGAGAAAAAATGTTGCCAAACTTGAAACACCTCAGCAGCTCTGCGGTTACAATTCGACTCTATTCATCAGAAACTGCATTGAGACGACTACAGATGCACTAGCAGTGTCGATGTCAAGAACTAGCAGCTCTGACAACCAACCGCCCATCTTTGGCATATGTTTAGCAAGATATCATGAGAAGCTGACTACCTTGCTATCTCCTTTCACTGCTGGACCTTAGTGGCAGGACTCGAATATCATCCTTGGAGTCGGAGGAGTGGGTGTTGTGATTGATGGTGAAGTCAAGTCATGTCAGGTTTGTTTGCCTTAAATCTGTCAGGACACCTCGGCGCAGGACTAGCCTTGGACATTGATGACCATTAAAGTACATACATGGGTTTCGAGAATCCCAATTGAGACAAGACGAGCTTTGCTATCGCAAAATGATGAAGAGAGAAAACAGAGGACCAACAAAATGCAGCAGATTATCGGAAGTTTGCAAAAGCAGAGGTGCCAGACGTTGCATTCTTTCAAAGCAGGGGCGCTTTGGCTCCCTTTTTGCCACCGGGCAAGGCACGAATTCCCCTCCTTCTTTGGCAGGTGCAAATCTTGCGTGATTTCGCATGGCTGTTTATGTTGCCTGGCACAAGTGTCAGACTGACACAGCCTGTTTGAAGCAGCTTATAGTCACTTAGCACCCACAACAGGTGAAATGAATGATTCCAGTCACTTAGGCTGTTGGCATGCTTCCTCTTCGAGTTGAGATTCATTGTGCCGCTTAGCATGTTTCATCGGATTCTTTGACAGACCATAGCCCCAATCCAAACCAGAGCTGATAGGTTCTGGAGATTGGGCTGGGATTTTGTGGGACCGAGATGATCACTTTAAACTTTAAAGTCACTTTGTCTTTGTATTTTATCTGTACTACTGTACTACTCAAGACATTATTTTTGTTCACGCAGGCCGCTGATTGCAGACTTCGAATTTGGCTGCTGAGCTCGAAGGATCGTTTGGCTGAAGACCTTCCGAAGGCTTCGTTTTTGCAGACTTCGAGAAGCTCAGGAAACCATAGGAAACCTGTAGACAGTAGACTGTAGATTCAGATTGTTTGGTTTTTTCGGGCATGTCGTCCTATCGTCCTCCAGCTCCCAAGTCAAGACAAAACATCAAGCCCCATGTTACTTTTGCATCTTTCCAAAGTCAACCTTCCTGGGAACTCGATTGCGGTGCTACATATATATATATATATATGTTTGAATTTGTACACAAACGAAGCATATTGAAAGCTTCCAGCAAGAATATTTCTGGGCATCCCAAACAATGGAGGAAAGGAAAACGCAGGATTGGACGAAAAGAAAACAACCAAACACTATTACCATGAACTGCAGAGAAGCCAAAGTAGTGACTCTCATGTGTTTTTTTTCTTTTGAAATTCTGACATGGTGCAACTTGAATTTGTCAAGTTTTGGACTCAGACATTGTAGTTTGTTGGCACTTTCTCTCCACGAACTGTTGAAGTGGCCCAGAACTTTGACACTAGTTTCTAATTGGTTTGCAAGCGGGCTTCGGAATACCATCTCAAGACTTTCGGTGACACAAAACTTGAAAGCTCTTCGACCGGATGTATCCGTTATTTCTATTTGTATCCATTGTGACTAAAGCCTGGAATCAGTTGAGTACAGCCTTTTCCGGAGCACGTCTTCTTCCAGGCCCACAAGTTGTGAGAATCTCATTGACCCAAGCGTCACCTGGTTTATCCTCTTTGGTTTTAAGTTTCACCCTTTATGTCGAACCTCAACCCAAGGCTTATTCTGTGGTGACACTTGCCAAATCCGATGCTTGGACTGAATTTGCCAAGACAGGAACTTTCAGCTCCCAATTTTTCTGGTTGATGTTTCAGACATCTCTAGTTCTAAAGTCTGGTTCAAGTTTGGTACAGTGTTTGGCAGAAATGCCTGAGGACAGACGAAACACTTCAAGCTCATCACCAGTGACTGCTTCGCCTGCGTGGGTGCTCTCGGCTTTGTTTGGTCTTTGGTCATCCTCACAGCCTTCTTTGAGACTTGGCTCAATTACAACTTGTGGCTGCTCCTTTGCATTCTGGGGTTGGATTGGGTGTGCATGCAGATGTGCTTCAGGACATTTACTACATTTTTTATGCAACGAAGCTGCAAAGTCTTAGTGATTGGAGTCATGCTGCATTGCCACTGCAAGTTGGCAAAAGGCACGTCGCCCCTGAGGCTGGGACTGCTATCTTTGGGTATTGCTCCTGAGCACAAATCAGATAAAGCCGGTTCAATGCATGGTCGGCAGGAGAAAACCTCAATGTTCTTAAGTTCGCAGGTGTGTTGAAGATTTTGCACCTTTCACCTAGGTATGGGCGAATGGCGAGGCTTGCGAAATGCTGCCTCCCCAGATCCTGACAAGGTTTTTTTTGAACTTCCAGAGCTGCTACTTCTAGCTAAGGTTCTGTCTACAGCACTGCGGCATTTGGACTGTGGGTGTTGGATAGGGTGATTATGATCCATGTCAATTGTGAAGAACATGCAAAGAATGCAATGGAGGACATTTCTGAGGGAAGTGATCTAACGCAGGACCTGGACTCCTGTTCAGAAGGACGCGTTCCAGGCTTGCAGAAACCGAAAAGGCGTGAAGACCGCCAGTGCGATGCTTACAACCTGTAGAAGTGTTCATGAAGTACTTCAGAGTCTTTGTTGCCTGCTGTTTGTAGCTTGCCTTTGCACCGAACAAGCCAGTCCTGTTGTCATGTCTAGCCCTTTTTTATCAAGGCGTGGTTCAAAAAAATGCAGCTAAGGATCAGTGATGGCGAGGCGATGCAATCAATCTTTGGCGTCTCATGGCGCATGGTACAGAACCTAAATTGCAGAGCCAGAGCGAAACTTATTCCATTCGTACCAAAGGGTTCCATTCTTATTGGATGGTCGGGTTGAGATACACCAGAAGCTGCTTGATCACATGTCATGTGCTTTCGAGGTTTGGAGTCGCATTGTGGAAGCCCTTTATGAGGCCGAGCATCCGGCCAAATACCGTCGTATTGCTTCTGAGCGGTTGCAAGGCAATTCCTTAGCAAAGCCTCCACCCCCAATAGCGATGGCCTCCAACCTAATGGAGATGGCCTGCAACCTAATAGGGATGGCCTCCAACCTGCTAGTGATGGCCTGCAACCTAATAGGAACGGCCTCCAAGCAGCCAATGCTTCACATCCCCGCTGCCCGAACAGTGCCTCAGGATTGTGTGATCTCCTCTGACCAGGCAAATGCCATGACAAAGGCCCAGAAATTGTGGAGACGAGACTCGCTGATCTATTTGTGCGTACAGATAGAACATTCCAACAGTGGGTTATGTCGCTTTATCCTTTTTCCTAAAACGGTTTACTGTCGGGATTCTCTCTTAGGCAAAAGATTGCTAGCTACACTGGCTGGCCACGCCCCTGAACTCTGTGTCCGGGTCTTGTCCTCCTCTTGTCCTGCTGTTGTCCTCTAGACTCTAGCCCTTGTCCTCCTATTGTCCTTTGGCCGCGCTGGCCAACCTGTGTCCTCCTGTTGTCCTTCTCTTGTCCTCCTTTTGTCCTGCTGTTGTCCTCTGGCCGCGCTGGCCTTGTCCAGGCCTCGCGCGATGGGCCAGGTGCCTGGGGTCTCTTCGCCTCGTGAGGGTTTTGTCCAGGCCTTGTCTGTCCTGCTTGTCGGTGTTGTCGACCCTTCATCACCGCTTTGTCCTGGCCTTATCCGATTATCCCTGCTTGGCAACGCCGCTTTCCCTTTCTCCTCCGTTTTGCCCGGGTATCTTTTCGTGTGGTTCTGAATAGGACAGTGAGGCAGCGGTTGATATCATCCGCATGTTTTCTCTTGACATATATATATCCCTTCGTACTTACACATGTGATGACCTCAGGAATCAGGAACCACGGTTTACTGACAGTCTTTTTGCCTACATGACATTCCCAATACAGACGTTATTGGAACTCAAGGAGTTGACATGCCCAAAATTAATGCTGAAACTGTTTGGGTTCTATGTTGACATATATTTTATTTTGTACATTTTTGTGCTGTAGCACACCCAGAAACCCAGATGCCAAGAACAAATAAGTCTGCTGGTGCAGATTTGCATTTCCCTGTTTTGGAGAGGCTGCTAGTACGGTTCGCTGGCACGACGCCGATGGCCTGAAGAAGATCGCCTTGCCAAAGGATGAAGTCAGCAGGCAGCTACTACTAGTACCAACAAGATTCCCATCATGACTCTTTCCCTAACGCCGGGACTGATGATTGCTGGACAAAACAACCTCAATTTGAGCAAGGGACCCCGAAGAAAATGGGTCGATGGTCATAGGTGCACAATGCAGTGGTATTCAAAGTGAAGGCTGCTTCACTCTGAGACTGGGGTGGCGTACCATGACTCTGAAGTGGAGTTCAAAGTCAAGTCTGAAGGAAGTGCTTTCAGTCTCAACTTTGACCATTAATTATTCTTTTAGCCCAAAGTAAATCGCAACATGAAACATATGACACGTGTTCGTAGTATTTCGTCTACGTTTCAGCAACTCCATCGCTTTGCACATGAGTTTTCACTATTTTTTCTCCGCAGGCAAGAGAGGGCACATTCTCCAAAAAGCTGTTGTTAAGAGCAGACATAGAGTTGTAGGCACAAACACAATGTCTGCAACTAACCAGACAATAACCGTCCATACCCAAACGAGGGGAGTGAAGTGCTAAGAGGTCCTGAATCCTTCAAAAGCCTGTCTTTCTCTCTTCAGCAGGTTGCGTTTCATAGCTACGCGTTTGCGCAGTGGAACCCCAGCAAAGCCATGGTCCCAGAGCTTGCAGCATGCTTGAACTGATCTCAATGGAGCTGAACATGTTCATGTGAACAATGGAATAATGCCGTAGGACCGTGGCCAGCTGGCAAATTCCTTAGCGCGTGGCGCGTGGCTAAGGGAATCCAGCTCGGCGGGAGCCCGCTACCGATGCATCTCTGCTCTGGAGGTTTGATTGCTTTCTGGGGCGGGCCTGCATGACTAACCCAAGCACACTTCAAGGTTCAGATTTCTCAGGTGTCAGTTGTTGTTTGTTGACTTGCACAAGCGGCATGATTGGCTGGCCGACTTAGAACTTAGGATTGTTTTGATCTGTGCTTTTCTTTTGCCTCTACTTGTATGGAGCTTGTAGTTGATATGGAATGGTAAGGTTTGTTGCAAAAGCCAGTGAAGTGGAGAAGCCATTTTTGTCATATGCTTTCATACCATGCCATCTCCCATCCTTGCTTTCTACAAAAGATAGTTCGAACATATTTGTGATTTTTGTAGTTGCTGTTGCCGTTGTCACTGTTTTGTGTGTTGCTGAACTTGCTAGTAACACTGCACCTGAGGGCTTCTATGGATATGAATTGACAGGTCCATGTGAGAACCGGTGCCTATTCCAACGAAAGGCGACAGGGAGGAGGAATCACAAACTCATACCAGGTCTTGCACATCATTCGTGTCTCATGTGGTGGGAAGACAGATGGATGCTGCAACACTACTTGAGCACTTGTCAATGGTCTTTGTTTCAGCTAGCGAATCACGGATTCCTGCATTGCACTCCACACCCACACACACAATATGGCATTGAAGTTTAAGAAACAATAACGACGTCTTGTGAATATTAAGGTTAGCAACAACATGTGAATATGGTGCACAACCGGTATTGGTGCCAGGCGAGTGCTCTCAGACATCGAAGACTTCACTGTAGACTGCAATCTTGAAGCTTGCTTTCTACTAGCGATGGCCTCCAACCTAACTTGGCGATGGGAACTTCCTTCAACTCTTGCTTCCGGATTTCAGTCTGTGTGCAAACTCTGCGCGTTGCCTTGTGTCAACCTGAAGTTTCAAACATTTCTCGCTTTGTGATCTCTTTTTCGCACTAGGAGCAAGGACGCTACTAGGGGCTCCTGGCATCGCTACTAGGAGCAAGAACGCTACTAGGAGCAAGGGCATCGCTACTAGTAACAAAGGGCATTACTACTACTAGTAACAAGAAGCTATTAGGAACAAGTGCATCGCTTCTAGTAACAAGTGCCTTACTAGTAGTAACAAGAAACTACTAGTAGCATTCAGCTTCTTGTTTGAGCTCGATATCCCCAAATTGTTGGCATCTCAGGACTCCGAGGCGGGGGACACCACTGCTACGACCGCTGCTCTACGACCGTATTTGTTTGGTGTTTGTGGAGTTTGCACAAACATGGCATGCGCAGACTACAATGAAGTTCATGAGTTCGTCAACTGGCAAGTCGATTTCACCTTGCCAGGATCTGAGGGAGAAGCTCGTGCAGGCGTTGCAGGAGGACAAGAGTGTGGAAGCGAAGGTGTCCTTTTCCGCTTCTTGACGGATTCCTTTTCCACTTCTGTAGAGAAGCCACTTGATAACTAGACCACTTGTGGGTACGCCGACAATGTGCGACAGCTTACTTTGGCACAACTTGCATCGTTGCTCAGAACACTGTTGCTTAAATGATGTGGATGTAGGATTAGACTAGACCAAAGGCCAGCCAGCAGGAGGGACAGAGTTCAGCGCTGTCAGTTGGTTTTAGTAGTCAGGCTGCGGATCAAGTAAGTTTCAAAGGTAGGGCCATGAAGAAGTATTGCAGAATTGCCAAATCCGAGATAGTTTCGGATTATTGAATGTTGTGGGGCAGGCAAGGGTGTTCTTCAGCATTCAACGTGATTGTGTGTCAACTTGAGGCTTTTGACTTGCCTCCGGGTTCCCGACTATTGGCAGTGCACCCGGCTGATGGACATGAGAACAGCATCGCCGGCAACAGTGAGATCAGTCACAAGATGTCCATAGACTACCGCAAATGTCTCAGCAAGGAGTCTTGGCATAACAAGATGGACAAGACATATTGCAAAATTGATTGATGTGCACTCTGTGGAGCTCTGAGGAGGATCTGATAGAAGACCTATGCAACGTCACCTTGCCTGCCTTGTTGGTGTTTCAGCGCAATGGTGCCAGCTTCTCTGAGGCACAGACCGTTTTTGTTTCTTCATGAAACTGCTGATTGGCCTTGTGCATGAGTGAATACTGATTCAGAGACAGCAACGTTCTTGAAACCTTTGACCGGAGGTGGAGTTAAATCTTGAGCCGCCTGCAAGTGTGAAATCCATTTCCTTCAAGACTGGCAAGGAGGGCCTCATGATTGGATTTGCCGCTTGCTTCCGGTCAAAAGGCTTTATCCAAGAGTTAAACTTAAACGGACGCTCTTCTTGGTTTCTGCAGTGGGATTTCAATCAGGAACAGTACCTGCAAAACTTTTGTGGAAACTAACCTTGCATCCTGGAGGACGACCCTGGCTTTGATCCTGTGTGCTGGAAGGCAATGAAGAATTGTGAAGCTAAGCTGTACACATGCAAAGGAAGCATTTGTTTGAAGCCTGACCATTCGTTGGAGGTGGAGGGCTTTGTCACAGATGAGACTGATGAAGCTGGTGGAAGGTGGAAGCAACTTGTGTTTCAAGACAAGCCGTACTTGCCACCGACCAGACGTGAGAGTCTTGGCTGGAGCATTGATTTGTGAAAGTCAAACCAGAAACTGCACTCACTTGGCACCATCCCAGGACTGAGCTCTGTGTGGTCTTTGATGTGGAGCGTTGGCGAACAGAGACAAAGGCGTGCCAAATCACTATCAAGCAAAAGCAGTTGTAACTGATGTTGCAAGAAGCAGTCATTTTGATACTGCTGATGCCAGTGATGCTTAAGTGGCAAGCTTGCAGTTTCAGTATCACCAAGCACCAACATCTCATACGCACTTTCAAGGAAGAACAACAGTTAGTACCCTACTACGACCAGCACCAGCATTGAGGATTGAGCTTGTTCTTTAGGCTGGCAGCATCACGCTTCAATCTTTCCTACCAGTGGTGCAAGAGAAACTTGGCAACATTTGTCAAAATCCACATTGACCACGGCTCCGTGAGTGTTTTGTACCATTCCTCTAATTAGGTTAGGTTAGGTTCACGTTGAACATTGGTCAGTATGCAACTTGACTTAACATAAGGCGTCTCAGCTTCTTCACAGCGTCTCTCCGGAGCCTTCTGGGGTCTAGTGACAAATATAGCGGCTTGGTGTCGAAGTGGAATTCTGGCAATTCACGATGGCCTGAGAATGGACCGGCAATGCACATGTTTTTGAGGCATACGTCCTGGCATTGACACGCTCTTGGACAGCCATGTGGGGAACATCCCTTCTCTGACACAGGTGTTGCAGGGTCGGAGGAAAGGACTTCTTCACCGAAGTGGAGTGATATCCATGGTGCCAAAGAACATCTCTATATAAGTGATGCAAAGGGTTTGACAAGATAGTTTGACGATGTTCATGCATTGCCCGTTCGCATATTTTCCGGTTCCAAGACTGGGAGGTGATCCCGTGCTACAATGAGACTGTCATACTCAGCAAGAAGTTCCTGCGAGATGCATCTTGGCGATCTTGATGGGGCCAACCTAGAATAGGACCTAGAGAACCTTCGGTTTCCCTAACGTCAGACACACTTGCCAGCAGAACCACAAACTTGCGCTGTGAGGAAGATGGGACAAATACAAATCTTGCTTTTATCATCTCCCAGTTCCCTGATGAGCTACTTGGCTTTTGCACTTTGCTTTCTTCATGTGTTCAACATCTTTGCTTTCTTCAACATCTTTTGCATTCTTTTGCACTATAGTACTATAGCTCAAAAACTACAAGCATACAAGCCATGTTCGCTACATACACGCTTTGCGTCTCTTGAACGAAGGCCTGGTTTCGCACGGTTAGCTCGCTGAGATTCTCAGGTGGCGATTCTTCTGTGACAGGCACAGCTATTCCGTCAAGGAGCATACATGCATTTTGTAGCTTTGTGTTCTTGTTTCTAGTAACAAGCAGCCTATTTTCTGGCCCAAGGCACCTGCAAAAGAAGCGTCCTTGTTCATAGTTGTCATGGGATGTCAAGGGTATATAATTGTGTGCGCTTTGAAATTGAATGAGAGGGGTCATGGGCGGATGACACAGTGGAAGGGAAGCTCCGCTCAGTATGCCGGGTAGGTTGCCACTTGAATTGCAGGATATGTACAACGCGTTCATGGGCAGCAGCGGCCAAGAATTGTCATCCAGCTTGTGCATGGAGGCCAAGCTGTGCCAACCAATCTCACCTGGCCTCTGCACTGCCTCGTAATGGAGGTTCGCATGTGGGCATCGATGAGGTCGCAGACAGTGGCAAGGACAGTGACATGCACAGCCAAACCTTTTGCCTGCTGTGTGTAAGTGAAGATCTCCGGTGCGGTTCTTTTCAAAAACCTAAATTGCATAATGAGAGCTGGTGGAGGTTGGTACAAAATGCCAAACGCCCCGGAGGGTCGGTTTCGCACAAACAAGAAATCGAGAGCCTCACTTTGACTCCAATTTGGAATGTCTAATCATCCACTGCTATTTCATTGCACTTCTTAGCACTTGCTCCTAATTAGGGTCATTTGACGAACTGCATTCAGGACTGTGGTCGGTGCAATGCAATACCAAGAGGCTTGGTCCCTTGGGTAACAGAGAAGGAATGCAATCTGTTTTTCATGTGACCCCACCTATTCATGCCTGACTTGCTTGCAGGTGATTGCCATGCTGCCAAGCGTGCAGGCCTCGAGGAACCCACACAAGGTGGGTTGGAGGGGAAACCTTGAAGATTGGGATGAATGCAAGCTTTCTTGGAATGGTAGGACTTGGTAGGATGGTGTTTGAACTGTTACAAGTTTGGCAGCTTGAAGTCGAAGGTCGGAACTTGAGTCATGTGACCAGAGTGCAATGCAGGCACTGGAAGACTGCGTGGAGCTAGTTCTAGCACATCAGACTTATGGTAGCAAGGCCGGAACGCTTTGATGTGCTTCGTTTGAGCATCACGGTGTCAAGAAAGCATCATGCTGTCAAGGCCGGCTCTGAAGAGAATGATCGGGCAGTGCGGCAGCTTGCCTAAATGATGAGCAAAGAGCCTTTCATGCTGAACTCCACACTGCCGGCAAGGGACTTGCGAGCAATGATTGTCCTGCCTCTGGCAGGTGTTCTTGTTCTTTGGCCATTTGATCAGGGACCCCGGAGTTGTTGAGCATGGCATGTGTACACAAGATGATTCAGCCAGCTCATCGAATATATAAGCGCTTGTGTGATCCTGGGCCGTCGCTTTCTTGGCCACCCTACTTTTGACAAAAGGGGGATGCCATCTATTGACATTGATCAGATGGAATCTTGGCCATCGGGCGGTTCACCTTGCATTGGCCACTGCAAACCTTTCACCGCGTGGTCGTTTGCCTTGCCTTGCCGTTATTCTCCCACTGGATGGGTTGCGAAAGAGAGAGCTGAGTTGAACACATTGCACATTTCAGGTATACGGACGCATCTATCTATCTATCTATCGATCGATCGATCGATCGATCGATCAAACGGCTTGCTGGGAAACAACTCTTTGGTTCTGCTTCAAGGAAAGACTGAGGCAAGAGCGCGTGGAATGATCAATAACGAGTTTGCACAGGATCGATATTCAATTAAGGAGGGCTCAGTTGGGTCGGTGTTGTTTGGCTGCTCCGTCAGCTACAGTAGGTGCCTTCCAGGATCTTTTGCGTCTTCTTGCTTACCTGGTGGCTGTATATAATCCGGTCCACCTAATAAAAAACACGGCCGCCCCCCCCCCCCCCCCCACCAAAAACCCGCCCCCCCCCCCCCCCCCCCGCCCCCTAATAAGGAAACCTCGGTCGCTTTTTTTCTAATAGGGGGTCCCTGAAATCGGGGGCCCAAAATAGGCTACCAAGTACTGACAAACTTAGGTACCTACTTGCAAAGTATCAAGACAGATCGTTCTACCTGGTCTTCGACTTTGACATCGACAAGACGCGATCAAGCATCACCAGCGCAGTGCAGAATTTTGTGAAAGAGAAGTGCGCCCGCACTTAGAAAGGTGCTCTATCGGCTGACTACTTATGCCCCATCCAACAATCAGGTACCGGTATGATCGGCCTGTCCGCTACGCGTCGCAACCTCAGCCATTTCAGATTTCAGACTGCTGGTTTTCTTGACGGGTTGTGTTTGACATTCACACACACATTTATACTGATATGAGCAACCATCAGAATACGGTATGAATTAAAAAATCGCGCCTTCAATGTTAAGAACTTGCAAGAAACAGGGGAACGATGGGGCCTCCCAAAAAGCGATGCCCGAAACATTTTCATTTGGTCGAAACAGAAACGCGCCCAAATGTATGCTGTGGCAGGAGTTTTGACAGCCACATATGGACAGACACATGTATATATATATATACATAATTTGACTGTATATGTATAATATATATATATATGTATAATATATATATATATGTATAATATAAATATATGGCTCAAGGCCATTTTCAGCATCAAGCGCTGTGGCTGACGGCCACAGGGCTAAGCAGACGTACCCGGACACCACAAGTCTGCGGAGAAGGAAGGCCAGAACGTGCCCAAGCATGAGAAGACACTATAAAGTGTGCATGCACTGCAGGAGCAGCTGGATCTGGGAAGATCGGTTGGTCTCGAGACCCAACCTGGCTTGCAATCACTGCGGAGAAGCATGGCAGACCGCGCAGGTCCCTGACTTGCGGAAGAACCGGAGGGTGACTTGGGCAGCCTGGAACTATCAGGGTGACGGGCACCGATGGCCAAAGAAATCCTTTAAAGAAGCATTGCTTGAACCACCACCGGGACTCCAAGGGGGCCAGAGGACACGCAAGGCCAAGAAGGCCAAAGATCCCGCCTTACAGAAAGCACTCAAAGATCACTGGGAGCAATTGCCGGATGCTTTCAAAGAGAAATGCACGTCCTTAGGTGTACAGGTGACCGCTCCACCGAGTACACCTGATTTGCCCACATTGATCAAAGAGCACCTCCAAAGCTTGCCTACTGAGTTGAAGGAGGCGGTGGAGAAATTGGTGGCCCCAGATCCACCGGAACCACCGCTGGCTTCCAAAGTCAAACAAGCGGTGGGCACTCTGAAGCAGCTGACCGAGAAGAAAGCCAGCCTGCAGACAAAGGCAGACGCAGTTAAAGCTCAATACACTCAGCTCCTGCAAGACCTCAAGGAACTGCAGGGCAAGATTGAGGCGGCCCAGAAAGAGTTGCAGAGCACCACCACTCAGTACAACCAGCAACTTGAGAAGCAAAAGCAAGATGATGCTGAAGAGATGGCAGATGAACTTTTTTGTGAAGCATTAGTCACTGCAATGGCCAGTGTTGGGCTTCAGGCAACATCAGCCCAGGTGAAAGACCTGGCCGTGAAGCTTGTTGAGAGCGCGGCAAAAAGGAGGAAGTGTGGGTAACAGCAGGTTACCCTACAGGGCTGATGAAAGGGGTGACACAACCTTGTCACAAACATCCAGGGGCAGCAGTGATGTGAGCATGCAAGGTTGTGGTAGTTTTGGCTCAGGCGATGTTTTTCCTTTGAAGGGCCTGAGATGGGGAGTTCAGCCGACCAGCGGCTGACCAGTCAGGAAGGGAGTTCGCCTTTCCCTGGCTTCACAGGAGGAGCTGGCGACATGGATGACACCATGGACTCCAGCAGTGACATAGAAATGAAGGTTGACCGACATGCACCAAGGAGTGGCCCGATGTGGCCGCTTGACTACGCGGCACAAAGCTTGCAATGCAGGCTTGGCAATCCCAACAATCGCTGTTTTGCGAATGCAGCCTTCCGCTTATGGTCATGGGCGGGGGCTTTCATGGATGGACCACAACTGTGGAGCAAAACAACCACAGCAGTTCTGGACGCCCTCAAGGCCGATGAGGTAGTTCATCTGCCAAAGCTTCCAGGGCTGGAAGTCTTGTGGGAGAAATTTGATGACAACAAACAAGATGATGCATCTCATTTTCTGCAAGAACTGGTGGCGATTGCAGAAACAGACCATGTCATCCAGAGCTACCACCAGGTTGATTACAGACAGGAGGTCAAGCAGCACAAAGCCTTTCCGGTTCACCTGCTATTCCATGCGTCCCAAGGACCGGGAGAGTTGGAACACCTGATCGCTGAATGGGCGAACACAGCAGAGGGCCAGGTTTTTGATGGACAAGGATTGTGGGTGGCACAGATTGGTCGCTATGAACAAGTTCAGGGTACATGGACAAAGCACCACCGGGCTTTGAACGTGCCCTCGATCTTCAATTTGCCGGTCACCCTGGATGGAGAAGAAACCAGAACGCTGCAATACTCACTGATTGGCTTTCTGTGCCAACAGATTGTGCAGGTTTGGGCCATTCCCTCAAGAAGGCTGCTACCGGCCTACCTTGAGTGTGATGTGACATCCGGGCACCAGAGACCCATAGCGCCGGAACCGGCTTCGAAGAGGCAGTGCACTGAGAATATCCAGTTTGATTTCGCCAACATCACCCAGCTTGGTCAGGCAGTGAGACAATGGATCATCACTCGACCCAGGAAGCCTTTGTTCATGGTGGAAACTCACTTGGGTGCAGCGGACCATGAAAAAACACAGCAATGGCTAGCCACACGTGGACTCAACATGCTCGGAGAACCAGCTGCTGAGACTGTCAAAGGAGGCACCAATGGGGGTTTCATGATGGTATACCCACCAAATCAGCATTTCCATTTTGTCCAGAAGCAGGTCATTGACGGTTGTGGGTGGTATGGCGTTTCCTGGACTTTTGGCAATAGCGAATTGATTTTGGTGATGACGTATTTCAGATGTGGCGAAGGGTTGCAAGGACCATGCAACAGCAAGCTGTGGGCTGGGTTGGTGGCTTTTGTGACGAGCCTGCAACGACCGGTGATCGTTTTCGGTGATTTCAATATCCCACCAGAAGTGTTCATGACCACCACCATGGCACAGGTCATGCATGTACAAATTCTGGCAACTGGACAGGAGACATGCAACACTGGCAACGAGCTGGATTGGGCATTTGTATCGACGCAGCTGATAGCAGACATGCAGGTTCAGACGGATTGGATGGTGCCTTTCAAACCTCATGCTATGCTCCGTTTCCAATTGGCTGGCCATTTTGAGGAAGTGGTGGTTCGACAACTCTCCAAGTATGGACCGGCGCCCAGGCTTGGCAAGCTGGAAAAAGAGTGGCGCCAAATTGAAACCAGAAATGTCAAAGTCAATTGGTTGAACAAGGAGACCGACAACCTCACTTCACAGACTGGCAGCCTGTATGACCGCATTGAAAGATATGTGCTTCAACAGCTGGACAAACCCACCACAGGGCGAGGCACGCATCTTCAGTATGTCCATCGACCAATTGCTGACCCTAGCAAGCCGTGGCTTTGGAGGAAAGGCAGTTTAGCCTTTTGGGGTCAGATCGAACTCCGGTTGCAGAGGTTGTTGCACCAGTCTCAACGTGAACCTCGGCATCAGACAGGTTTACAAAAACTAGGTTGGCACATCGAAGAGAACTGGCACCCGGATGCTCCGGTTACTTGTGAAGGCTACAAGATGTTGTTTGAAATGCTGTGGCACCAGCATGGAGATGAGCACATCCATGTCCTTGTGAATTACACCATCAAACAGAGGGAACTACATCAACAAGAGAGCTTTCAACAAGAGACTGAAGAATACAGACAATGGCTGACACAGGCAACCAAGAAAGGGTGCCGCGGCTTGTACCGCACACTCAAGAAGGATGAACTGCCTTACATGCGGCCTTTCCAAGACCAGCCCAGGAGTGAGCGAATGCCAAAAAGAGTTCAACAGTGGGGGGACATATGGCAAATTCAGGATCAACCGGTCCTCATTGCTAGCATGGAGCAGATGATCCAGAAAGGACAAGCAGCAGCGCAGCAGCTCCCTCCGTTGACTGAGGCACACATTTGGTACACCATCAAGCAACTGGCACTCAAGGCACCCGGCTTGGACGGCATTGGCTTTGATTTCCTCAAAGCTTTGCCCTACAGCGCCATGGCAGATTTGAAAGAGCTCTTTCACCAGATCGAGGCAGCGGCCATGATACCCAGCCAATGGGGGACCTCGTTGATAGCTCTTCTGCCAAAGTCTCAAGTCATTGAGCGCCCCATTGCCTTAGTTGCCACTCTTTACAGGTTGTGGTGCCGATTAAGGAATGGGCAGACCAAGTTGTGGGCTCAGAACATACAGGATGAGTACCCATGGGAACGGGCAGTGCCAGGTACAGAATGTTTGCAGGTAGCTTTGAAGAGAGCTTTCATGACGGAACACCATCAGGCACACCGACGAACAGTTGTCTCTGTACTGCTGGACCTTTCCAACTTCTATGACCGCATCAATCTGCAAAAGTTGGCAAACCGCTGGCTGGATTCTTCGTATCCTGCAACCCATGCGGCCCTGGCCATGCAAGTTTACGCTGGCAGCAGGATCTTGGAAGCAGAAGGAGAAGCGTCAGAGCCGCTTTGGGCAAGTCATGGCATCCTGGCAGGTGACCCGCAGGCACCTTTGGCTGCTAAGGTGTATTTGCAAAGGGCCCTCCGTGAGTTCAGCAGAAGATACCCTCAACTGCACATGGACTTATGGATTGATGATCTGAGTTTCGATGTTGTTGACAAGGACCCTTACAATGCTGCAAGAATCGCGATACAGGCCTATGAGTTTGTCAACAGAACTTGAGAAGGACAATTTGAAAGTCTCGGCCCAAAAGACTGGTTTCATTGTATCCAATGCAGCAGTCAAAAAGATCCTCCAAGAACAGCTTCCCAAGGGAGGCCCTAGCGTCCATGATGTGATGCGAGATCTTGGAGTAGACTGCACGGCTGGCCGTTTGAGAAGGATACAAACCATGAGAGCTAGGCGCACCAAAGCGGCCAGGAAGACTCGCAAGCTGATGACTTTGAAGATCCCTCAACGTGCCATTCGCCTCAAATTGTACAAGGGCAGCATTGTAGCAGGCATTAGCTGGGGCCACGAGGCCATGGGTCTGGCTCCCCAGGTCCGCCGGCGACTCCGAGCAACCATGGGCAGGCAGATGGGTTTGCAAAAGACGGGGAACATTGACATCCTCTTCGATATGCAAAAACAGCATAGAGATCCAGACTATGGTGCATTTGAGGATCAGGTGCGGCTGTACCGACGATTTTTCGGCAACTGGCCAGAACACCTTGCCAGAGATTTGGAGAAAGCCTGAAATGTTCAGAAGGACAAACTCCGGGCGGCAAAACATCCCTGGCAGCATGCAAAAGGTCCAGTGGCTGCACTGCAATGCTATCTGATGGAGCATGGCTGGCAATGCGACAGGTACGATGAGTGGACCAAGCCTGGCCACAACGGGGAACCGGAATGCAGATTGAACATGCATGCCGATTGGTTCTTCTTGAAGCAAGAGTTGGACAGGGCCAAAAAGTGGGAAACTGTCATGAAAGTCAGCCAACGCACTTTCCTTCAAGAAGTGCAGCAGCCATTGGATTGGCTGCCATGGAGAAGAATGAGCAGACAGTTGAGCAAACCCCAAAACACAGCGCTGCAAACGTGGCATCAGGGTGCAATTTTCACCCGCAGTGCTGATGGGCAGGAAGGCAAGCATCTGATGTGCCCTCACTGTCACACAGAGGCCACACCAATCCATCTCCTCTGGTTGTGCCCACAGACGCAAAAGCAGTTTGCACCGATGGACCAGCTTGACAAGCAGGAGATCGAACATGGGATCAACCTTGAGTTTTGGTCCCAGGGCTTGTTGCAGTTGCCACAATATGAGATGTCAACTGGAGGAGCGGCCGTCCAGACCTGGGGCTCCTGGACCATCAATGATGAAGTTCAGCTTGGAGACCATGACATGGTGACCATAGGCATCGCCCCGACGAGCCATGACCCGAGACTCAAACATTTTGTTGTCGCATTGGTGCACCACACTCTTTTGAATGGAGACCTTTTTCGCAAAGGAGCTGTCACTACAGTGTTGCCAGGCAAACAGTCGCTTGAACGAGCCTGGTTCTACGGGCTAAGGCTCATAGCCCACTATCTGGATTTGTCCAAGAAGGTGGTAGTGCAGGTTCTCTCGGTGCGTGCCTGGGAGGCCTGGGTGAAGGGTCGCCATTCCGAGACCTTTTTCGACCTCAACAACCTAGTGACTGCCGATCAAAGACAGCGAATACAACCGTTGAGCCTGACGCTCAAGCAGGTCAACGAGATGCCCAAAGGTGTGTACACGGTCCGTGCCAGGCTGAGAGACGCCACCAAGGCGGCCAAGGAAGTGGCCATGTCGCTTCGACCTCACCACCTAGAAGAGGAGCTGCACCTCAATGATCAGCGCTACCAGAAGATAGCACCTTTGGCTATCAAGCGCATCAGATACTTGATGGAGACGAAGGATCATTTCCTACACCAGACAAGAGAAGCAGGAAAGACCAAGAGGGAGCAGACAAGAGCCAAGAAGACCCAACTTTTCCTTGACCTGGGCAACCAACAAACGGAGCATGGCCACAGCTGGGAAAAAAAGGGCGTTGGGCTGCAATGCACCAAATGCCAGGTGCGCATCACAAAGCATTGCACAGTAGAAGACCTTGAGAAGGCAGCAACCGAGTCATGCTCAGGTGCAGCCAAAGTTGATTTGGTTGGTGGGAAACCACCTGAAGCTCCAACCAAAGATGAACTCATTCATCAAATGGTGGATGGTGCGCTCCCTCAGATGGAGAGTCACCAGTTTGAAGTCCAGAAGCACTACATCGTTTGCACGGCCTGTAAGGGACGCATTTTGCGCAATTCAGCCCGTGAGAAACTTTTGGCTTTGGCAACGAGCCCTTGCTGGAACAAGCCCTGGCCGATTCCAAGTGGTTGGACTGGCCACACAAGCCACAAAATGTGGCGTCAAGGGGGCAAGGTGTTTTGCACGCAGTGCAAGGCACACGCTACGAATCGTGCTGATTCGTATCAGGCCAGCAAGGGCCTGAGAACTGTGTGCGGCGAGCAGGCAACACAAACCACGTTGCCTAGCTGCTTCAAGACCAAAACGGTCTAGCAACCGGAGAGCTCAGGAAAAGAGACGAAGAAAAAAAATATGTATAATATAGCACAGAAGCAGATTAAACACTCCTCTCAGAAGGCTTCTTGTGACTTCTCCTGTCCACCAGGAGTGTCTTGGCCCGCCTCCGTGCTGACACCAAGTGTTCGGAGGAGGTGCCAGACAGCCGCCTCGAGCTCATTGAAGTGCTGCCCAGGCGCGAGAACTACGCGAACACAGGTGTGTCACCAGGGTAACGGACATTTTTTCTGAGACGGCACGGGTGAATGCTGTAAAATTATGGAGTGGAATCCTGGAACAATGTTCCAAAGTACATGTAGCCACAGCTGCCTGTATGCTTGATGGCCCTGAAATTCAAGCCCTTTGACCCTTTGGGAGCAAGCTACAGTTCAGAAACTGATCCGGAACATGTCAAGTTTCCGAACCCCACGCTCCTAGTTTCCAAATGCATTTTTTCCAGTTTCCAAACCGGACTTGCTGAACCCAACGTTTCATTTTCCAAACCCATGACCCTGTCTGCACCGCGCGAGCAGCTCGATAGGCTGATAGGCAAACCCGAGAGACTTTTATACTTCTTCAGACAGAAGCTGAGCATATCCAGGTGCTTCCCGCTGCTGGTGGGCACCCCCGGCTTCATGACACAGGGCAAGGCAGGTCATCGTGGCTTCCTTTTTCTGTGCCTTTCAGACCTGTTCACACCTACTAGCCTTGAGCCTACAGAAAAGCAAGAAAGCAAAATAAAGCAAAAAAACATCAAACAGGTAAGGGCCTCTTGAAATCTCATATATATATATATTTCCCCAAACAGTTTACTGTTGGGGTTCTCTCTTAGGAAAAAAAGGAGCTGGACACAGTCTCTGGCCGCGCCGGTTCTTGTTCTTTTGGTGTCCAGCTTGGCCGCAGCTGCCAGCCGGCCTCCAGTCCTTGTCGTCTTGTTGTCCTCTTTTTGTCCTTTGTCCTTTCCAGCTCTTGTCCTCTTCTTCTCGCCTTGTCCTTCTTGTCCTCCCGTTGTCCTCTTGCTGGTGTCCAGATGACTGCATGGCAGCATGTAGACATGACACTATGACAACGCGCGGCGCGCGAAGCACCGTCCCCAAGCGCAATCACAGGGCCCAATGCGAGAAAGCAATCGCACTCGCGCAAGCCTTGTGTGGCGCCGCAGTACCGCAGCATGGCCAGGTGGCAGCCTGTCAGCGTGTGCGAGCGTGCGCTGCAAGCTGACAGCTCCAGAAAGCAACCCCAGAAGCCGGTGTCAGGCCGCGGCGAGCCCTGTCCAGACGTACTTTGCTTCTCCTTTTGTCGCAATCCTTTCGGTCCGGCCCTCTTCATGTTCTTCTATGCCCTTTGTTCCTAGTAGCGTCCTTGCTCCTAGTAGTAAGGCCAGGAGCCCCTAGGCCCTAGTAGCGTCCTTGCTCCTAGTAGCTATGCCCTTTATTCCGAGTAGCGTCCTTGCTCCTAGTAGTAAGGACAGGAGCCCCTAGGCCCTAGTAGCGTCCTTGCTCCTAGTAGCGATGCCCTTTGTTCCTAGTAGCGTCCTTCCTCCTTGCCTACTTGTTCTTCTTTAGGTGCTCAATGGCCGCGGCTGCTAGCTTATCTCCGGTCGTGCTCCTCTCGTCGTCGTCTTGTCTTTCTCTTGTTCTGCTTTTGTTTTCCTCTTGTCCTCTCTTCTTCTCCTCCTGTTCTCCTCTTGGTGCGCTCCCCTCAAGTCCTCGGGTGTTGTCCTTTTGGCGCTGTCTGGCCGCAGCTTATCTCTTGGTGTGTTCTGTTGTTCCTCTGGTCTTTCTGTTGTCATGCTGTTTCCTGTCTTGCTGTTTACGTTGCTTTCTGAGGCAGGGGCTGGGGCTGCGGCCGCCCACAACAACAATTCTTGACGATTAAGCTGTTTGGGGTCTATGCTGGTATTACTTTTTAAATGATATTAACTTTTTCCTTTTGATGACCTGTAGTTGCCAGGCGGGTAACCAACTCGGTGCTCTGCGGTTTTCAAGGGGCCACTTCTTGCAGATGATGGATGCCACTCCCGTGCAACAAGATTTTGCTTGGTCTATTGTTGAAGTCGTGTGGACTCTGATTCGCTCAACCCGAGTGGGGTAAAGTACATGGTGAAAGGCTTTGGCACACATGGCGAGAATTTTTCGGAACACTTCGAACGAATTTGCTGAAGTCTTGGCAGCAACACTTGCTAACTGCTAACCTATTTTAGATGTTACTCCTGATGTCTGAGGGTTTTTTTGCTGAGGCCAACATGGGCGCATTTTTGGGGGAGGCCAGCAAGGTGCCCTTCATTCTGCGCCGCTTCCAGCCACACTGGTACGACAGGACCGAGAGGAAAGGCAAGCCAACAGATTGCATGTCGCGGTAAGCAGCTGCAAGGAGCACAGTGACAGCGCGGATTATTGGCTTTCGAGAGACTTGCCTTTTGAAGTTTCCAGAGAGATGGGCTTTCTACCTTGCGCAAAGATCATTCTATCGTAGATGTTGACAGTGCCAGCGGACACCAAAGGAATTCATCTTCACAGAGAGCCATGGAGCAGTGGGTAGTGTGATGGCCTCGGCTGAATGGTCCTTCGGTACGATCTGCCAGTGCAAAGCTCAGAACTTTCGACATCGGGAGCTGTTGAGCGGCAAAACCATGTGGCTGAACGCAATGAGACCAAGGCGCTTCCTATCCGGCTTGGGGGCAAGCAGCTTGTACGCCATGGTATGCACTCTATTCACTTCACACTGCCAAGATTGGTGGCAAGTGTTTGCACATCTTTGCCAGGGGGGCCAAAACTTCACAGCTTGCGTTGTTTTGCTTAGGAATGCATTATGGTCATCCTGATTTCTTGGATGGCTTTTGGGCCTCCAATCGCGGCTCCTTGTCAAAAGCATCTCCGACAATCAACCTTTCGGAGGACCTGTTGGTGTGCCGGATGGCCAGAGCAAGAAACTGTGATCATCATATATACATACATTTACATAAATATACATACATATACATCCATAGCATCATATCGTTGACAGATCTCAACTCTTTGATTGCTGCGCCTGCTGCGCTGTTGTTGGATCATGCTTTGATAGCAAAAGATCCCATGCAGGATATTTTTGCTGGCTTCAATGTGCGGATGAGAGGCCATTTCTCTTCCAGGGCTCATTCTTTTTTGAGCGCTCAGAATCTTGAGGCTAGGTTGGAGGCCATTAGGAGGCCATCCCTATTAGGTAGGCCATTATTGTTATTTTGTTGGAGGCCATCGCTATCGCTATTAGGTTGGAGACCATCGCTAGTAGATTTGAAAGGTGAAGGCTCAGAGTTGAGAGGTGAAGCCTCCAAGCACGTGGATACACTGGCCTGGGAGAAGGGTCGAGAGTCCTCCTTCAACGCTGCAGCGCTTTTCTACACCAAGGCGCTACTCGTACTCTGCAATGGAAATCATAAGGAATCATATTCATGTAACCCAAGAAAAAATCGATGGAAATCATTCAAGGAAAGCTCATCACACACACAGAGTAGCTGCTTCGTTTGCACAGGTCAGCAAGGGCAATGTTGGCGTTATGCGGTCACGGGATCTGAAGATACTTACCCAGAGACTTGCTAATGAATAAACTCAGTCGATATTATGGCTAGTCCAATGTGCACCTGTCACCAATAGCTCTGACACCATATCCGAGGAACATGAATGTGGTCACTAGCTTGGACTTCTGAGCACACACTCTTTGATCGTACATTTCCCGTGGAGGTTTCTGCAGCAAAAGCAAATCCCGACTTGGTGTTCCAAGGTTGACAACTTCTCTTTCTATTTTGCATCTGCAAAGCCCCAAGTTATGATTTCCGTATCTATTGCCAAGCTTGAACCGTGTTGGAAATCACAGTCAGGATTTCCAGGATCAGCAAGCAACTTTAGGTGCATCCTTTTGAGTCTCTGAGGTTGGTTTCTATTTCAACAATTTGCTAATTGACATCTCTGCAACGTCATGACCATAGATGGTGGCATTGACTGAAAGCTTTGCCTTGAAACCAAAAACCGCAGTGCACTCAGGGTCTACGTGTTCCTCTTCATTCTCCTCGCTCTGTGCTCCAAGTCTTTAACAGATGTGGCATCACTCGATTCCATGCTGGCGACAGAATGGACGTACCTGCTGGCATGCTTGATTTTCGGTGCCAAGCTGCAGAAGGGGTAACAAGCTGCCGCAACCTTGCAAGTAATCCAGGCTCTCAATGGGAACAATCGCCATGTTTCCGCGCTTCATGGCCATGTGCTGAGCTTTTGTAGACAAAGATAGTAGCAAGAAGCTACTAGTAACAAAGGGCATCGCTACTAGGAGCAAGCAGCTACTAGTAGCTCCTGGCCTTACTAGTAGTAACAAGAAGCTATGGGTTGGTTTTGCATGGCATGCTTCACTCATCATCTTTGATCAACGGGAGTTTAGACCCAAAGAGCTCACTTGGAATACCAAGGAGCTAACGCTGGAATACGGGCCTTTAGAAGGTCTCTTGCGTTTTCTGCCATCAGCCTGGAGCCCTGTTGATCGGTGTTTCACCGGTAGCTCCTTCGTGTGGCGGCTAAGATCCCTGGATGCATGACGATGTTCACCTTCATCAATAAGTCCATTGCTTCGGGTTTGCAGGACCTATCACGGCCGGGATTGGAGGAAAATGTTCCAAAGACAAGTTCACCTGTGTTTTCAAGTCACCAAAAGCCTTGCAACCACTTCAAGCAAGAGTCGTGTAGGGAGGCAGGGCCAAGACTCAGTAGACACAATCAGAAACGAGCAAGCACTCTTGGGACTCCTTGTGTTGGTGATTTTGACATCAGTGGCAACATGAGCAGATGGTGCCAGACTTCTGCGAGCGGTGCCTCTGAAAGTGGTGATGAAGCCTTAGCCTTATTGCTGCGAAGGAGACGATGGTTACTGGAGAGGCGCAGGGAGCCCAAGCTGACAGATTGTGGGGGCTATTTACAACGTGTTTGAAGCGTGAGATTTGTGTTGCTCAGTTGAGGTCCTACATTGCCACTGGCCGGCCAAATGTTCCCTTGACTTATTCGCTTTGCAGTGTTTGTTCGATCCTGCTGGAGCTTGCCAGGCCAACACGCATTACAGCTGGAAGGAATGCTACTTCATCCATTGTCACTCAGATGCATTCTGCGCAAAGGATAAGCTGCGTAAGAGATGTAGCGCTAATGTGCAAATGGACGTATCGGATGAAGCCTTTTGTGAGCCATTTTCAAAGCTTAGGTGCATCGCACTACTATCCAGCCTTGAAGGTTTTCATCAGCCACTCAGATTGTGCGCTGATTCTTTTGTTGCCTTTCAAAAAGGGAGCTCTAAACTATTTGGCTTTCACAAGGGCAGGGAGAAGAGAATATGGTGAATGCAACGTTATCACTTGAGAGATGACCCGCCGATAGTCCAAATGATTTCCTCGACGAACGAGAACTGATCACTCTGAATCCTATCGTCGTCATGCTTCTCCGTTTGAGGCTACTATGCTTATGTTCTTGTGTCGCAGGCCAATTCAAGCTTGGACTGGTTTCACTCGGAAAGCCCTGAAGAGTGCATATCCATTGGGCCCTTGAGGGAATATTTGTTTGAACATATTTGAACTGTCTTGGCAGGCGATGGGATTTTCCACACTACCAATGATGGTCCTGCTGGCCACCTCATCCATGTGGTTACTCAACAGCGCCAGTATGCGACAATCCTGCGATTAATAGCTTGCAGCTTGACCACATCGCCACCTAGGATCCTGTACACTAAGGGTTTCCATAGACCATAGGCATTTATACGAGCACAGTCTCTTGTTCTTTCAGAATAGCATTCCAAACTGCTGAGGCTGATTGCGCCAGTGCTGTTCTGCCCACAGCCAACTTTGTGGGAAGCCAAGAATGAGCAAGATGACACTGCGTGACGTTGTTGTCCCATGCTTTCCAATGCTTTGCCCATATCAACTGGGTCTTCTGATTCTATAGGCTATACTATAATATACTATATATATGTATTCTATTTTCTGGTTTCTCCGCACGAAACTGCAGCAACTCAACATGTCCTTTGAGCATTTTGCTTCACCGCACCAACTGCGATCTCTGCTCAGGAGTTCGCTTAGCCAGTGCCTTTGCATCCGAGGGCCTTTCGACATTACAGTTCCAACTTTGGGCACGACGTAGCCCAGCAAACACGTGACTGGTATTTTCTCACGATGTGAAAATCCAGATGTGTTTTAGACTGCAATTGATGTCAACAGAGATTAATAAAACCACCCTCACAATCCGAGCCATTTCTACAAGAGTTGGTGGTCGAAGTTACTGTAACTATATAGTATACTTATATTACGAAAGCCAGCCGATAGGCTAGGCTTGAGCTTTTAGAGCGAACGAAGTGAGTTAAGGGGGGTGTGGGTGGGGGGGGAGGTCGCGAAAAGGCTCAACTTGAAGAGGGCGAACCCGGAGCTTGGTGGGGGAGAGCGCTCCAAAGCGAGGGTCAGAAAAGCAGTAAAAATGGGGTCTGGTGATGCGAGTGATGCAATGAACACCGAGTGGTGCATCATTGGCATCATGAAGGGCTTCGGAGGCTACTTGCACAATGGGCATTGAGCAATCGAGTGGAGACAGGGACCCACGGACAGAGCAGACCGCCGGCGCATGTAGGATTTGGCCCAGGACAACCCGTAACTCGCGAAGTCCATAGAGAACCGAAAGTGACATGAGTTCAAGTTCAAGTCCATGAATTTGGATTGAGTTTCGGTGGGATGCCTGCGAGGTTGACTACATATCCATATAGGGCTCCTTCCCCTATCAAAAACTATACTTGCACCATGTCCTCAGTCGAGTGGATGCTTCTCGCGGCGTCCACACGCACCGAGCGTTTTTTCCGGCTTGCCGGTACAGATAGATAGATAGACAGATAGATACATACATAGATAGATAGATAGAGAGATAGAGATAGAGATAGAGAGAGAGAGATTTTTGCTGGCAGCCCTGGCCGAATCCAGTCAGCCTGGGTCCACGGCCCAAGGATCTACACACGCAGGTGCCAAAATCAAGGCCTCTGAGTGAGAAAAGCGCAGAGTTGATAAGAAAGAGAAGAATAAAGAAGGTGTTTGGATCGTTTAATAAAGGCCCCTTTAAAGGAAAAAGATTGTGTTTTGGATCGAGCCAGGACATGACTCACTCAAGTCCAGGCATGTGCATCGATAGGCGCGCAAATCCTCACTCCTTTGCTAGCCCAAGCTACTCCCACGTCCCGGCTAAGACGTGCCCGTTCACTCTTCCAAATCATCAATGAATGCCGCTTTTTTCGACGTGCCGCAGTATGCATTGCAAACTGCAAACACTCCAAATGTAGCAAACAAATACTTGCTTCTTTTCAACCCCAAGCCATACTGGCGCGCGGCGACGCTGACTACGGAGAAGGTCTTCCTGCACTCAGATGGTATTTCCCCTTGGCTAACGCTGATGTCGCCTTCCAACTTCTATAAAACGCATACCTTCCTGCGTGTGACAAGCGCATGCCATTGCCTTGTGATGATGACCTACACCAACATACAACGTATCGCACTTCTGTTTCACGACTTCTTTCATACCAAACTTATCCCAAAGCCGCCCGGCTTGCTTCTCTGCTCCCTTCATCACCATTACATACGCCCCCCCCGCATCCGGAGCACCGCTGACTCGCAAGCTGCCGACCATGTGTCTTGTGCCGCGACGCCCGCCAGAAAGGAGACACTCGTCTGGCTGCTGCTGGCTTTCGTCCCCCCTTCTCAGGTATATATATATATATATATCACCTTCATTAATCTACAGTGTTACAATCAATGTGTCTCAATGTGTATCCCATGAATCAGCAGGTTTCACTCCAGGAGCCCCCATTTAAATCGAGCCTGCCTCCCATCCTTACTTTTGTTGCTAGTTGGCTTTTCTTTTCAGAGGTGTTTTAACCTGTTTGGCTTCTGTGAGGTGGCGACTTGAATGAGTTCTGGCAATTCGCCATCGCAGTGCCAGTTTGGACGGTCCAGAGCTCACCCACCGGGGAGCTCGCCGAGCTCATGCAGCTTTGCACCGAGGATCGCTTTACGGTCGGACTTGAGCAAATGAAGTCCACAGAGGTGCGTCGAAGATACGTCAAACAAGTTGAAAGCTGTCTGAGTCTGTGACCAGGAGCTCCTAAGGACCGGTTTGCGGGATCCGCGCTCATCCCTTTATGAGTCCAGGGCAGAGATCGTGCTTTCAATGTGGTTGTTTGCTTTCAAGCATGTCCGGTGAGCGTTCGGAAAGGCGAGTTCGCCGCCAGTTGGCCAGTCCAGTTGGACTGACCGAAGGTTCTGGTTACTGCGAGCCTTGGACCACAAAAGGTTCTCTTGCTTTCAGCGAGTCCAGCACTCAGCTTCTCCCCTAACACAGAGGAGTGATTTGCCAAGGGTTTTCGAAGAATTCGTTGGTTGGATATTTTGGATTGGCCTCCGTCTCTACATTGATAGCCTAAGATGGCCTGACATCTTCCAACCTTGAATGCTGTGTGAGTTGTCGAAGGCAGACAATTGACACCAAGGCCTGCTTCCTTCTTTGCGAGACGTGCTGCTGCTTGCGTGCATGTGAGATTCTATTGCAGCTTTTCTTTACTGATTTCTGCTTACATCATATTCTTGAACCTTTGTTGGTTGCAGGATTTATATAAGTTGAGATGCACCGCCCATCACGGCAGCAAAGAAATCAAGGCTGCAAATTACTATAATGTTCTCAAGCTGTCTTGAGAGGCCTAGACCAAAGATTCACTGCAACAACAGCTTTCTTTAATTTTCCTTGTTCTGGGGAGACTAACTGCACACCATAGGATCCTGTTGACAGACATGTCTCTTGAACATTGGGTTAAAAAAGCAGCACTTGGATCTCAGGTCTCGTATTTCTGCTTGCCGTTATGTACAGTAGCGCTGACATGTTTGCACATTTGCACTCCATTGTCCATTGCATCATTGAACGGCCAGTTTTCGCTGCAGAATGAGGGTTCTAGTCTATCTAGGTCAATATAACCTCCAGCTGTGGGAAGTGTAAGGGCAATGTCTGCGATATCCTGCTCGAGCCAGGCTCTTTGATTGACAACTATTTTCTTGTGGCCAGGGCCCCGCTAAAGCACCGTTGCTTCGTTTGCCCAGCTATGGATCTTTCATGTCATATCAAACCTTTCCTGTTTTTCTGAATCAAGTGCTGATTGCTCATAACAGAATCGCATGATACTTGCGCACATTTTCCTGAAGCCTGAACTCTGATTTGGCTGATTTGGCAGCCTAGCAGATTGAACTTGTCAATTGCACTGCTTTGAACACCCACTTTGCCACTGCAACTGGGACAGGTCTTGCTCTACGGAATTCACTTTGTGCTGATGGAGGTATGGCGGCTTCTGAATCGCCCCACAGTGGGTAGCCTCAGACAAACGGGCAGTCTAAGGTCTACCTGCAAGTTCCTTGCTGGATCAGACTGGTATGTAGTCTTTTGACTAGTGTGGTGGTTGCCTGACCGCTGCCCGGCTCAAAAAGCTGTTCATGCGGCGCAGCTTGAATGCTGTGCCACAAGTGCCACCAGAGTCCCGCTGCTGACGGGGAGTCCTGGTGTTTGGGCTGCGCCGGCTGGGAAGCCCTTGGGCGCGAGCTCTGTAGTCCGTGGCCGGCGGACGGGGCCCGGAAATTGGCCAGTGATCTGGTCATCTCCTGCGTGCGTCAGGTGAGGGGGCTCCGGAACTACAGCCAGGCCGTCCGGACCAATCAGGTGGCTTCCCAGGCATCTTCGAGGAGGCGGTTCAACGAGGAACAGGACCATCAGCCAGACCGTCCAGAACTCAAGAGGCGCAAGCCCGACAGTCCAGACCCGAGGCCGGCAGGCGCCGCGCCCAAACGCCTAATTGAGGCCCCCAAAAGGGAGGACACCAAGGAGGAGACGGACTCCGAGCGGTTTGAGGAGGAGTCGGAAGAGGAAGTGCCAACACACACTCCTGCACCTCTGGCCGGAAAGGACACCAGGCGTCCACCAGGGCCTGAGGGACCACCGCCTCACTACAAGAAGGAGGCTACCAATCGGGGTGATCATCGTGGTTCTCATCGCGAACGTCGACACCACCGAGGAGGAGGAGCAACATCGCAAAAGGGTACCAAACCTCGCCACGGAAAGCGTCAACGGCTGGGAAGGCTTGAGCAGGACCCGAATCTGCCAGTTCACCGCAAGCTGACCGACCATTTCCTGGATACGCTTTCAACGGAGAAGGGGGAGGACAGCCTCAACAGGTTGCCATGAGCGGGCGGCCTCATTCAGAAGGAGAAGAATTCAATCTACAGAATCTTGAACAATGGTGCTTGATCTCACCTCTACGGGGGGATGTGTTGTTTGTCGATCTTCAATCCACCGACCTCAACGTGGACGCGGAGACTTGGGCTCCATTTCTTGTCATGGAGGTCGCTTTGCTCAAGGCTTTGGGTACGCTTTCAATAGAGGCCAAGTTCCTGGGAGGTTGTTCCGCCGAGGTCAACAAGGAGTTATCAGCACGGTTCAACAGGCGGCTGGGACGCCTCCACCTCTGTGGGACCGTTCCGTGCCTCGAGGAAGAGGCTGGATGTCTCCACGTGACACGCTTCATTTGGAATACTCTTCATGGAGCAGAAGGCTGGCTTACGAGCCGCGCCATTCGAACGGCCACCACCTGGCTACAAGACACCAAGGGGCCGGGCGAGGCCATCGATGTGGACGAGGGCCCAGAGGAGCCGACTCCAGCCGCTGGCAAAGGGCCTGACCAACAAAGCTCAGGCTCGTGCCGCGGCCGCAACGCACGCAGCAGTGGAGCGCTTTCTCCGCCTTGGAGGGCGCTCGAAGGGGAGCGCTGACGCGATTCGAGGCGAGCTAAAAGGCATCCGGATCTCGTATACGGGGGAGGAAATGGGAACTTGTCACATTCTTACGAGGGAGCAGGTACTTCCAGCTCTTCCCCCTGGTGAACATGGTGCTTCTGTTGATGTTATGGCTCTTCTTTCACCCGGTACACAACGACTCCTACAAGATCCACATTCCCTCATTGTTGCGGATAAGGGCCAAGAGTTACCCCCACTTCAAGCCAGAGTCCATTGCTCTTCGGAAGAACTTCTCCCTCTTTGTAACGAGCTGGTGAATAGACAGATCTGTGAGTGGATACCCCTGGACTCGGTGTTTCATTTTCGTAAACAACCAGTCTTGTCAGGGCTGTTTGGCGTTGAAAAACCAACCACACTGGCGGACGGTCGCAGCGTCTTGCGTTTAATCATGAATCTAGTACCAATCAACTCAGTGATGGAACCAATTGCTGGCTGTGTCCGACATCTCCCATCTATCACATCCTGGTTGGGCATCACCACTGAGATAGACGACCACATCGCATGGTTCCAGAGTGACCTCTCTTCAGCGTTTTACCTGTTTCGATTGCCTGCACAATGGACCAAGTTCCTGGCGTTCAACGTCAAAGTCGCGGGGAACCTTTTGGGCTTGACAGACAATAGAACCTATGTAATGGCTTGCCGGGTCATCCCAATGGGATGGATAAGCTCAGTAGCTTTAATGCAGGAGGTAGCAGAGAGAGTAGCATATCTAGGCGGTGCTGAACCCGATTCCCAGATTTCTCGTGGCTGCGCACTTCCATTGTTTTTGACCGCGTGCGTCCACGAAGGGCAATCTCGCGATAGGCCCTGGTGGCACGTATATTTGGACAATTTTTGCGCAGGTCAACGCGTTTCCGGTCCCTCCTCCTTCCAAAAAGGACATGCTCTCCACGGACTTGTCGAGGACATCTGGAGCCAGTCGGGGCTGGCCTCTTCGGAGAAGAAGCGAGTTTCAGGAGCTTCGACGGCACAAGAGCTGGGCGCTTGGATCGATGGCGAGACTCACACCATCTCGGTTTCGGGAGAGCGGTTCATCCGTCTGATACATGTCACATTGTACCTTCTTCTGATACATGTTAACCGTAAAGCGGTGCAGGTCGTGGTAGGAAGATGGGTCCATGCCCTACAGTTTAGGAGGCCGGCCATGGTAATGCTCACCCAGGTTTGGAAGTTTATTTCACAGACACGTCCAACACCATCGGTCGTTTTGGGAACAAGACAAGAGCTTTGGAAATTGATTCTTATTTCTCCCCTGCTTCACACCTTCCTTGGAGCGACAGTTGACAACTGTACCACAGCCTCCGATGCCTCCCTCAGGGGGGGCGCGGTTGGCATTGGGCCGGAGTTGAGCCTTGAAGGGAAGGACTTTGTTCTGAGTTCACAGGCACGAAGCGGAGACGTAGGAACTGTCCCAATCTTAGTCATATCCCTATTTAATGGCATAGGAGGGTGTTTTCGAGTCTACGATATTTTAGACATCCGACCACTTGGATTAATTGCTGTGGAGCTTCACAAGCCAGCAAATCGGATAGTGGAAAGAAGATGGCCACATGCGAAGATCGTGCCGGATGTTCGGCTGGTCAACGCGGCCATGATTAAGCAGTGGCGCCTCGAGTTCCCAATGGCAGAAGAGATTCACATATGGGCCGGCTTCCCATGCGTGGACCTTTCTCGGGTACGTGCGAACAGACAAGGGTTACAGGGTCCAGCTTCTTCTTTGGTTTTCGAAATCCCCCGGATTGAGGAACTTGTGAAGAAGGAGTTTGGTGCAGGGGTCTTGTACAAAAAGGTCATCGAAAACGTTTCGTCCATGGATAAGACGGCGGCCATAGATATCTCCAAGATGTTTGGGCTCACCCCTTATGAATCGGATAGCATTGAGGCGTCCACGCTTCGCTTGGTGTTCCGAGTCATTGGAAGGGGCTTTCACTGACCTTGAGATAACGCACCATAGCTACTGGAACCGTGTGCATGCGAGGGCGGATTACCCTGAAGTGGGGCAGTGGGTTGAGCCGGAATGGCAATGGATGGGAGAGAGGCACCAAGTGCCTCTTCCCACCTGTATGAAGGCCATCGTTCGGGATCGACCTCCCCCGCAGCCCGCGGGAATCCGTCGTTGCACCGAAGCAACGATCGCTCGCTGGACTTCGGACTCCTATAGGTTTCCTCCATATCAATATTCCCCAGAGTTTTTGTTTTGGAAAGGTGACCAGTGGCGCTTAGCTTCAGCTGAAGAGCGAGAGCTTCTACTTGGATATGGCTTCGGACACACGAAGCTGTGCTTAGCAGCCTCCAAGCAGGAGGAGGTGGGGAAGCAAGCGGTCGAAGATATCCGTCGGTCGCTTCTCGGGGATAGCTTCTCGGTGTACTCCTTTTGCATTCCTGGAGCAGCTCTTTGTCATCGGTTTCTCCCACGCGTGCCCTATAGCTGGATTGCCCAGCGAATGGGCGTTGCACCCGGCTTTAGAGCCCACTTGAGGAGTCAAGCCCCGCTAGGTAGGTTCTTGCAATATGGCTTTCGGGCACTGGCGCAGAGTAGGACTTACACCCCAGAGGACTTGAATCGAATCTTGTTGACCAAGACCAATCACACAGGGTCCGACGTGAGGATCGCATCAGGAGACATTCTGAACCCCAAAGCGTTTCCCCGCCAGGGCGTCGAGGCGTCCTGGTGGAACTGGCAGCCGATTTTTAGTGTTAGGTGGAAGCATGAGGATCACATTAATCCTTTGGAACTCCGGGCCATCTTGCTTTCAATGGTACACCATATTCGCCGTCGCTCCGCTTTGAACGCTCGAGTGTTTCACGCGACTGATTCATATGTGTGCATGAGTGTCATTGGAAAGGGTCGTTCGGGATTGCGCAAGCTTCAGTATGTGCTTCAGCAACTCAACGCACATCTCATGGCATTTAATTTGTACCTAATAATAGGTCACGTGGAATCCACTGAGAACCCCACCGATCATGCCTCACGGGCGTAAATGGGTCTTGGGGCGCCCGACTGCGGCCGAGCGCGCCCGAGAACGTCGTGGTATCACCTTGCGGGATTCTCTAGTCCAGCCCAAGACGTTGAAACAATACTATAAATATGCCCGCAAACTACTGCCTATCGTGCGCAAAGCCTCAGATGAACTTGAACTTGACGAAATGCTTGCTGATCACTTAGAAGAAATGTGGGAGACTGGACGACCACTCTACCATGCTTCAGCGGGCCTTTGCGGGTTGCAGTTCTTCATGCCTTGGTGCAAGGGCAAGTTGGTCCAAACATGGAAGCTTTTCCGCATTTGGCGGCGCCTAGAAGTCCCCTGCCGGGCGCCACCGTTGCCGCGGGAAATTGTCTATGCCTTTGCTGGCAAAGCCATCGCGCGCGGCGATCTCGTCTTCGGTGCACTTCTTTTAGCGGCATTCGATGGTCTTCTTCGAACAGGCGAACTCCTCGAGCTCTCGGGAGCTGACATCCTGATCCGCAAGGATATCGGACTTGTTCGTCTTGCTGAAACCAAGACTTCGGCGGCTAAAGGCATATCCGAAGTCGTACCTCTCAAGCACCCTTGGACACTTATGGTGCTAGACACTTTGGTGGACCATTTGCGTGAGCAGCATACTCTTCACCTTCCGATCTGGCGCGGGTCCAAGGCTGCGTTTCGACAGAGATTTAAAGAGTACTGTAGATCTTTCAAAGTGCATCGAATGGGATTCCGTCCCTACAGCCTCCGAAGGGGGGGAGCCACGGCTCTCTTTCAGGATACACTATCCTATGATGCAGCGCTAGACCAGGGCAGATGGAGCAGTATCAGAGCCGCCAAGCTGTACATTCAGGACGGGCTTGCGCGATTACCCACTCTGACTCTCTCTGCCGAAGCCCACGCCATGGTGTCTCTTTGGAACCCTCTCTGAGTGCTTTTGCTCCAGTTTTCTTCACCCTGCAGAGCAGGGTAAGTCAGGGGCCGTGGAAAGACCAGAGTTTCGATAGATTGAGTCTCCAGAACAGTGTTTTTCTTCTTTGGTTCAGAGAAAGTTGCCTCTCG